GGCTTCCTCGGTCTTCGTCGGGCGTGCTGACGTTGCTGATGACAGTATGACTGCTGACTCTGGCGGGGAACAGATATCTGATGCAAAGACCTAAAGGATCGTTGACTCTGAATAGTTGAGACATCGGGAGACTGAGTCTGAGGTATAGGGGACTCCCTTCGTTCAGGAACTTTCATTCTTAGGCTTGGCCTAGGAACGGGCAATAGCTGCGGGCAGGGAGACTCTAGGGTCACGGATTGCAAGACAGGCTCCTGACCTGATGCAACTTCAGGGGAAAGAATAGGAACATCCACATCTTCTGGAATAAGACCATTGCTCGGCATGAACTCAAATGCTCTTGAATCGATTAAATCCTGAACCTTGTGCTTAAAGGCTTTGCAGTTCTCGATATTATGCCCCGGTGCCCCAGAATGGAAATCACAATGGGCATTTCCATCATAGCCTTGTGGTGGCTCGCCAGCCAACGGAGCCATAGTCCGGAGTTTAACCAACCGAAGTTGAAGCAAGTGTTGCAACAACTGAGCATAAGTCATGGGGATCTGGTCGAACATTCTGTCGGACTGCTTCGTCCTTTGAGCATACCTCATAATCCTAGGATTGTCTCGGGAAACAGGAAGTAGTTGTTGGCGAGGAAATACTGGAACCTCAGGTTGTGTAAGATATCTTTGAGGCACTTCACGCCTTGGGAGAGGTTCCACATGTAAAGGTGGGATGGCCATCTCTGCTGCAGCTTCGGGCACATGATCGCCTTCCTTTCTCAACACATTCCTCATGACTTCTGTTATCAGGCCTATCTGAGTCTTCAACTGATGGACTTCTTCTCTAAGCACTTTCTGATCCTGAAACAAAACTTGCATGTCCGTCATGAATTGTCCCATTTGGCTTCGGATTCCCCTCAACTCTTCTCGAATTTGTTCCATGGTCGTCTCTGTTGGTTTCCTTTGGGTGGAATGATCTTCAATTCTGGAACAAGCCGGATGGAAAACCACATGAAGCAATTACGCCCACAAAATTAGAACACCTCTATGCAAATGAATAATGATGCAATATGCAAGACATGCAAAGAAATGCAAATGAATATGCAAATGCAACAGGGGATCAAAAGTTGTTGTGTTGTTGACGGTGACGGACCAGCGCTTCGCCTTGAGACCAAACGACATTAGTACAAGGAACCCACTGTAACTGTTCCTACTGACAAACGGGTAGGATGAAGGTCAAAGTTTCCTGCAAGACAGCACAACGAGATATCTCTCACCTCAGACGGGAAATCTATCGGTTTATAAGAGGGTATTCCAAAGGCTTTTCAAACAAAGTCCCATGCACTAACCCTCAAAAGTTTCCCATCATAACGACTACTCGTAAGACGGTAATCCCTTCAAAAGGATGAACACAGAGTTATGTTTTAGCAACCTTTGGAATAAGGTTCTACAAAAGGTCCTCAGAATCGCGGACTCTCAAGTTGAAGATAAGAACGCCATTACGACTACACGTAAGACATAATTATTCTAACGGAGTCTCCTCTGAGCGGTGAGATTCAATCCAACTCAACGAGTCCTAAGTCTCGCAAATCAGAAAGAATCCACCTCCTAACTTAGTGTGTATGCTCGAAAGCTCGGGTAGAAAGCTTTATCCTCACAAACCAAACCAAATGAACCCAAGAAGTTAGAAAGAAACATAACCATAAAATAAATAGCAAAACAAATAAAGCACAAATGCGACAAACAAAATAGGCGTGGCTTGCTAGGTTTCCCCAGCAGAGTCGCCAGCTGTCGCTACTCGAAAAATTCATCGCGCAACGACGGGGAGGCGAAAAAGATAGACAGAAGAGTCGCCACCGAACTTTATTTATCCCATGAGGGGAAAGGAAAATATCGAGAAAACCTTAAGAAAAGAAAGGATAAGATGGTCTCGCAACCATGAACGGGTTCGGAAGCCGGTTATGCAAGGGGAAGGTATTAGCACCCCTCGCATCCATCGTACTCGATGGGAACCTTTTGTTTGTCGATGTGTGATTATATTTGCTAAAATATTATGCTATAAAAGTGTTCCACAGGGTAAAAGAAGGATTAGAAACAGGGGAAAGAGAGATAACGGGGGAGGAAGAGAAAGAAAGGACTCGATAGGACTTCGCGGTCCTAGGCCTACGTATTCTCAACGGATATGAGAAAGTCAGAGTCGACGTAGTTCGGGGAACTACAGATATGGGGGATTGTGCTCGCCAAGGATTGTGGCCCTTGTGCCTACGTATTCTCATCTGGTATGAGAAATCAGAGCAGCCGTAGTTCGGCCTACGGTGTGTTGATGATTTTTATGGATGACGCTATCGTGCGCATTCTAGCAGTTAGGTATTTCGCTGCTCGCTCGTTGGAGACTTAGGCGTTACCTGTTTGCGGTAGAACGGACGTAACATATCCTTTCGAAAGATTGATTAGTTTTCGCCACGCGGGGCTAGAAGTCACATTTGATTGATTGGATTGTTTTTTAGGGGGCGAGACAGGTCCTTGGATAGTAACCCCTACGGGTAGTACCCAATTCGTTATCTCAGAGTTTTTGTTATAAAAGGGTGTGGTGAACGAGGCGTCTTCGTATTGAAAGACGAGCGTCGAAACCACTCTCACTACAGTGGGCGTCCCAACGCTCGGAGAAGAAGAGGTCTACACCCAATCCTCTCTCTTTAATCCAATGCAAAGGGAACTTCGTTCTCTTATTAAAGATGTTTTTGGTTTTGAATGGTAAGTGCTTTGCGACAGAGAACCCTACGGTAAACGTCAGCACTCGGGATAGGAGAAGGCCTACGCCTAACCACTCCACGACCATTCAAGTTTTGGTTGTGAAAATAATTGAAAATGCACTCGGTACAAGACCGAGGTTTTAGGTGTGAAAGTTGTGGAAGGGAGTTGTGAAAGCGAGACGGTGGATAAAGTTGCGTCCTCGTATCGAAAGACGAGTATCGAGACCACCCTCACTACAGTGGGTATCCCATCACTCGGAGAAGAAGAGGTCTACACCCAATCTTCTCTCTTTAATTCGATACAAAGAGAAATTAATTTATTATTGAAAGCATACTCAGTCCGAGACCGAGATTTTATGAGGAAATGTTGGAAGTGTCTTTGTATTGACAGACGAGCATCGAGACCACCCTCACTACAGTGGGCATCCCTATGCTCGAAGAAGAAGAGGTCTACACCCAATCCTCTCTTTAGCTCAACACAAAGAAATGATTTTAAGGAGATGAGACTTGAAAATGGACTCGGCACGAGACCGAGGTTCTGAAAATGTACTCGACACGGAGCCGAGGTTTTTTTAGGAGAGAAAAGTTTAGAAGCGTCTTCGTATTGAAAGACGAGTGTCTAAACCACCCACACTACAGTGAGCATCTCGACACTCGGAGAGGAAGAAAGTCTACACTTAATCCCCTCGTTTAATTCAATACAAAGAATATGATTTAAAAGATGGTTTGACAATATTTTTGAATCGAGTCGGGACAGGTAATGAAGGGAGAAAAGAGGTGGTCTCAGATCCAACATTACTTATCAATAATTTGACTGGTAATGAATTACGGAGGTCTCGTCATCGACCAAAACAGAAAATGGGACAAAAATCCCAATAACAAATGGGAAAACAATTCACCTTCTAAAAGGAAATGAGATCCCAAAATTAAAATATGAATTTGAAATTCTAAAAATATAAAGTTTTGAATAATAAGCATAAACTCTAAAAAATATAATATAATATAAACAAAGTCTAATTAAATTATATAAAAATAATGTACAATATAAATCCTAAAAGAGATTATATAAAAACTAAAATGTAATATATTTTAAAATATGTAAAAAAAGAAAATTAATATATAAACTAATTTAAACAATATACAATATATATACGTCCAAACCTAAAAAACCTTTTTTTAAAACATACTAAAAATTACTAAAATATAACTAACATATTTATATACTAATAATGTACTAACAATTTTTTTACAAAAATCAAAACCCTCGTTACCAATACCTAACAGGAACAGTATCACAAACTATACACTACTTTAATTAATTTACAATTTCTAAAACCAAGGAGAAATAATAACAATACAGTAAAATCAAGTCTCAGTACTGATAAACCAAAATGATAAGCATGATGAAGACAAACTGGAAAAAAAAGTGAGTCAAAAAGAAGCTACCATCACCGTGCAGCTACTGCGGTTGTTATGGAGCTGATACTGTTGTCGTTAGAGCGCAATCACATCCTGGGAACCACTCGAGTACGCGACCACACAGCTTTGGATAACCTCTGTCTCCACACGAGCCTCTTCTGATCTCTCCCGATTCAACACACAAAGCCTCACCTCTCCGTTCAAACCGGTCACTTTCAAATCATCACACCCCAAACGCAATCCCCTGTTTCTCAGTCGAGTTTAGTGGCTCCTCATGATCTCGAAAACTTTTTCCGTCTCATTCACGGTGTGTTATTTTCATCGGCGGTTGTCTCAATTGATGTCGTTTCTCAGTGGTTTTGAATATTGTGAAAAGTTGGTGAAAATCTGATGGTTGTTGTTCCGATGGAGGTGATGGTTAGTGGAGATTAATGAAAGGAAGTGCTGAACAGAGACATAAAAACCGCCCACCACATGTTCGACGAAAGTAATGTTGTGGATTTGAGGGGTTTAATGGAGTTTTCTGGGTCGAAAATGGAAGTGAGGTAGCAGATGGTTAGTTGAATGTTTGTCCTGTTTTGGTTGATGGAGTTTGAGGGGGTTTTCTGAAATGGTGATGGGTTTTTTAGATCTATTGTAGTTGTTGGGGTTCATGTATGTTTGTTAGAAGATGGAAGGTGGAGTTTTGAAGGGTTGAGGATGAAGAACAGAGAGGGCAGATGTTTGGAGATTTTAAGGTGGAGGTTATTGTTGTGCTATGTGATTCTCCGGTTTTTTTCTCAAAGCTCTCAGATGAGTGTTTTTCTCCCCCTTTTTTATGCTATGTCCCATGGTTGTGTATTGTCTTGGTTTATTTCATGTCTGTTGCTTTCATGTGCAGGAATTGTCTGGCATGTTGTTTTCCTGCGGTTTGTACCAGCCATAGCAGGTACTGCCAGCTAGTGTGTCTTGACGCAACTGGTACGGTTTGTGCAGAATATTGTCTGTTGGTCTGGTGTGGGGCTGTTTTGCAGCAGGGTATTGTCTGTGGGCTGTGCTGTTTTTTGTTGGCTATTGTGTGTAGCAGGCTGGTTGTGCAGAGTATGTTTGTGTCTAATACTTTAGGGGCATAAAATTCATTCTCTTTCATCTGAGGCTCTGATGGACTAATGTTTAATGAAGTTTGCTGGCTGGACTTGTTCGGAGTAGAATGGTCGGGAAAAGAACCAGCAACTGGGAGTTGATTAGCGTTGAGAGAATTCAAATCAAACGTCCCTTCAGCCCCTTGCACAGATTCAATATCACGTTTGAGCTTTGACAGGGAACGGTTAACCTTGTTGATCTTTCGAGATGGCCAACGGGATATACCATGCTGCCTGCAGATGCGCTTCATTGTAGTAGGACAAACGCCAAGGCTTTTTGCAGCATCTTTAAGACTCCCAGCGAAATAACGTTGTAGAACTTCAAGACTAATAGATTTCTCAGTTTTTTCACGTTTCCCAGCTTTCAAAGCTTCGACGCTGCTCATCGTTGTACTCCCAACCGCAATGGGTGCAGGATTTTCAGGTACTTTAACCGCCCATGTTTCCCCAGCCGCAAATGATGGAAGACCTTCAGGAGGCACAAGTATACCAGGGAACATCAAGTCAGCTCCACCTATAACATACCGAGAAACCTCGCCACCCTTGAGTATGAAAGCTGGCAGAAGCTCAGGGACCATCCATAGAGCATAAACTGTTGGGAAAATGTCCGAACCGCGACCATCGACGTCGAAAAACACAGGAAAACCTCCCTCCACAGCATACACATGAACTCGAGTTTGAAACTTGGCCACTGTTATCTCTACCTTAGGAGGAAGTAGAATGTCTCGGTCAGAATCAGAAGCTCTTGGGAATTTGTCTCTAATGGTTCGTTTTAGCTTCTTCCTGTCGGCACCGGATAATCTCTGCTGAGACTTGGCTTCCACGAAGTCCGCATAACGCATCCAGTAATCAGGATAATTGGCGCAGACAATCAAGCATCTCTCGTAAAGTTTCACAGCCCAGTCAAAATCCCCTTGAAGTTCAATAAAATCCAGATAATCATGCCAATTCTGCAACTGATTTGCATCAAGTGGCCGGACATCAAAGTAATATCTTGGAATATTTGCCTCCAAAGAGCTAATCTTTGAATACAGTTCACAAGACTTATGATAAAGCTGTTCTCCAATGATCCTGTACTTTTTTACAAAATCAATCATTGGCTGTTTGTCACGAATGATTATAAAACCGGTTGGCCTGAGTATGCGGTCCATCTCAATTAATAGATCCTCCGGACTGCAATCTTTCTTTGCTACGTCAGACAAGACACTCCATGCATGGAGCATGTCGTAAGTTCGAGGGTATGTTGAGAATGCTTCACACCAGTCATGAGTGGCACCAATGAGGCCTCTGTCATATATAAGTTTAAGCGAGTTTGGTCCATCTTGAGGGACAACATTCATCACCCAAACATCTTTGTCTTTAAGAGCAGCTGCAAATGAACCCATGTTTGCTTTCATATCCATAATATTCCTTATCGTGTTTGATTTGATTTTTTGACTCATGAGACTCCAGTATTTATCGACTCTCTCTCGCCATAGTTCCATATCCTTTTCGAACATATCATTTGAATAGCCAAAGTCGGCTAATCTAGGAGGAGGACTGGTCAATCTTGCGGGCCAAGGAGCTAAGCCGCTACCTTTAGCTTTGTTGTCATGGTCACTGTAAGGTGTAATACAAACTTCCATATTTACTCCCCAAACTGCATCAGGATCTGCGTCAGACTGGCACAGAGGAGGGCGAGTACCAGGTTCTCTTTCTTTATAGCATTGATTTGTCAAAGGTTTCTGCCAGATGACAGTTTGATCCTTTTTAGAAGCTATTCTCCAACACATACGTCCCACGAGATCGCTCATTTCTTTCCATATCCTTAGATTCTCTTCATCCTGAGCATACGCTTCGGGAGATGAGTACGCAAAGTAACCTCCTGGCCTGAGCACGCGGTCTAGTTCAAGAAGCAGTATTCCATCTCTTTGAAGCCAATCAATACGGCAGCGAGAACAATGAGCAAGTTCAAAAGATCTGCTTGGGTAAGGGAGTCTCTTAGTTCCCAAGACACCAAGGTATGCAGGAATTCCTCTTTCTAGGGCAAATTGGATTTGATTTTGATGTACATCATTCGGTGCCAATGACATTGTAATGATATCAGATGAAAGAAGGTATCCTCCGAAACTTGCAACACCACAGCCAACATCAAGCACTGTCCGCAGCCTTCCTTCATTGTTTAGATTATTGTTCGAAAAGTTAAGCATATTTGCCATTGATGCAATGTACTTATCAGCTCCATAATGAAAATGAGTCCCGCCTCCAGGAAACACTATCTTTTCACCCTTTTCAACCATCCAGTTCTGGTCAGATTTCTCATGTGCAAGGTGAGTATGCGGGATATTTGCTTTCCACACCTCATCTCTGCTTTTTGGCCACTTAACTGGGACCTTGTATCCTGATGGCGGTGGAATCAAGCAATTGTAGCGCCTTTCTGCAGGAGGACAATGTCTCTCATAATGTTCCATCAGAGACAAGTCCAATTTCATCCGCAGTTGATAGATAAGGTGTCTATCTAAGCAAGGAATCAACTCTGAATGACGATCATCACAAACAGGAAAACTCTTTGGAACAAAATTGTCCTCCTCATCTCCCTGCCCGAAACTTGATGAAGATTCATCTTGCTTTCCATCGCTATCATCATCCGCACCCAAATACGACGACCCAAGTTTTCTCAATGTTTTTCCATATTCTAGAGCAGATGAACTGCTATTTTGAGAACCAAAGATAGATCCACCGTACACATACAGAAAACCAATGAAAATCGTCACGGCACAGATGGAAGCAACTAAGCGCTTCTTTTGTGATCCATCAGTTCTTCCCCTCGACATTTATTACTTGAAATTTGAAACAATACAGATCATTGAGAATCAACTCTTGTTCCATCATTAAATCCAGAATCCTGTAATACAAGTTCAAGGGAGGATTTACTAGCACAAGCACTGATAACACTGGCAAAGCTAAACTTGTCCATTTTCACATCCAGCTTATTCATCTTACAACAAGTATCCAACGCCTCACTTGGACACGCGTTCAAACAACTTGCAAGCTTCATGAGGGTGTTGACATTTGGAGTACGCATCAAGCAGAGCACTAGAAACCACAATATCACGAGTCACCCCAACTTTAAAAGCATGGTCATGCATTTGCCTAACAAGCTCAACATTGAGCAAGCTACTAGCAGCACCCAAAAATGTTTGCAACAGCAGAGAAGTCTCCCCAAATACTGTTCCTACGCATTGACTTGAAGAGAGTCAGTGCCAGCATTTCCTCACCATTAGACACATATCCTGAAATAATTGAATTCCATATCACAGAACAAGGATCAACCATGTTATCAAAAACCCTTCTTGCATCTCTCATTCTACTAGCATTTGCATAACCTACTACCAAAGCAGATAAAGAAAAATCATCTACTTCCTTCACAAAACCCACAACCTGAGCAGCACTATCCAAATCACCACATTTCCCATAAAAAAATTAACGATCGAACTGCACAGAATCTTGTCAAATTCAAATTCAAATTCAAAACCATCAACGAAAACATGAGCATGGATTTGCTTCCCACAATCAAGAGCAAACAAGTCAGCACATGCACCAAAAACCGTTGACAACACGAAGACATCCCGGAGCATCATTTCTGAAAGATCTAAATTCATCTCCTTAAAGAGTAAAAGAGCTTTTCTTGGATGCCTGTTTCGAGAGTAACCATGAATGATGAAATTCCAGACAAGGGGATTCTTCATAGGCATGGCGCCGAAAAGCGTGTGAGCGAGTTGAAGGTCATCAGATTTGGAAAACGTTGAAACAAGAAGGTTCCAGGAGTATTGGTTTTTTTTTGTGTGACATTTCTTGTATTGGTCACGATATTTTATGACGAACGTATATGGATTCAAATAATATGCTTGAAACAAAATAATGGATTCTTTAGTGATTCTCTTGCAAATTACTTGAATCATAGGTTTTAGTAATACAAAAAGGTCTTTGAAATAAATCTGCAACGCCCTGACTTATTCCATTTCTTGATTAGAAAGCAATCATAATTGAAATCACAAATAATTGCGTGTTCTCAATTAAGACTACTCTCAAATCTTCCCTAACCTGGATGATACTTTGAATTGGTCCTTGAGCATTAAAGTCAGTCACAGAACAAACTTAATCATGAGTCAATTGTCAAATCATTATTGATGTTTATCTGTTTGTCAAATCATTTTTCTGCCCATGACAACCACATATGCTTATCTGTTTGTCTTCAAGGACCTTGACTTGTCTCTGATAAGGGTAACCACTTGATGACTTGAATATAAACTCCTTGATCAGATTAAGAACCATTTGGTAATTTTTGTTAGACACACATTTCTTGATCCCCTGTGGAATGCAAAAAATGCTATGCAATGCAATGCTTATGTATTATGCTGATGCAATGAAATAAAACATAAGCCAGAGAGGTCGGTCAAATTTTGGGGTACAACACTCTAACCTGTTGCACCCTAAAATTTGCTCAACCTTATTCACTTGGTTTATGTTTCAATATCATTAGCATTTGCATATAGAGTCATGTACATAGACTAATCATCTGCATAGCATAGCATAGCAAGTCATCCAACAGGGGATCAAGCATTATTCTCATCTCTAGAGGCCTATCCAGAGGTTATTATCCTAATTCAATCTCATTCAAGTCATCAGAAAAGAATTTGAAAGCAGAGAGTTCAGTGGATCAAGCTTTGAGTCTATCTCCTATCTGAGGGCATCTGAGGATCAACAAGGGAATTATGAGCTGTGAGTTGAGCATGGAGAGTATCTAGACATCTTGGAGGACTTGGAAAGTCATTTGGAGAAGAAAACAAGTTGTTGATGTGATCACAAGAACTGCAGTTGAAGACAGTCAACTAGGGTTTCATCTGGGTCAACCCTAGGTCAAAGGATTGTTGGAGAGGCATTAAGGGCTATTGAAGAGATGTGGGATTCATCATTTGACATGGAGAATAAGGATATGTTGTTATGCTAAGAAGAAATCAAGAGAAATCAAGGAGAAGAGGAGGGTCTAAATTAGGGTTTCTATGTAAAATCCCCTAGTTTAGGTCAAATTTCCAAGCAAGATAAGTCAAAATGCAAGCTTCAAATGGATCCTTGGCCAACATGAAACTTGTAGAGGATCTCAAGACCTTTAATTTGAGTGGTGGAAGACATCAAGGAGATTTATAGAACTCAAGTTATGGTCCTTGCAAGTTACAGGTCATCTGAGGTATCTGAAATTTTGTCTGTGAAAGTGACTTGACTTCCAAGCAACCTTTACCCCTCAAGGAGATTTCAAATGGATTTCTGGTCAACATAAGAATTGTTCCTTATTGTCTTAGCTTTCTATAATGGTATGGTATGCCTCCATCTGATGTGTGGAACTCTACTTATGGTCTTGGCAAGCAAAGGGTATTTTGGTCATTTGTGAATTACAGGTCATTTTAACCTATGCCCAAAACTCATACAAGGAGGCCTCAAATGGAAAAACTTACAACATCAAACTTGCTCCAAATGACATTTTGAGTCTAGAAAAGTGACCATGAGAGATTGAAAAGATTCATAGCACAAGGTTTCAAAATTGTTGGATTTAATGAATAAAAATGACCTAAAAAATGAGATTTTTCATATTTTGGCCAAATGAAGCAAAATTATAGGTCATTTTGAATGGAAAGACCATTTTAAAGACATTGGCTAAAGTGGAATTTTGAGTTTAGTTCATAATTTGTGAGTTATCCATGGTTTCTTACAATGAAAGAAACATAAACCAATTTCAAGGAAAAAAATGCAAGGGAAACTTCTCCAAGTTTCTAGGAGGTTCTAATGCCACCTATATATTCATACAAGTTGGTTCATGCCATGGTTGGTGCTCCCATTTGTTCAAAACCCCAACTTTTCCACACTTTCTTCAACTTGCATAAGCTTCACAAACTCTCCATAATCTCCCTCAATTCTTACATTTGTTGATTGAATCTTCATCATCATCATTCAAACACTATGATTCACATCAAGAACTGGCTGAATTGATCAAGAATTGTACCATTCATCATCTTTTGCCAATTTGCATTTTCTATCCAAACTCCATTAAAGCTTCATCTACCATTCCAATTTCTGTTATCATCATCATCCACCATCATCCTAGAGTGTTTGGCAAAGGAAAGTGGAAGGAATTCGTGGCTGGAAAAGGAGATCCAAGTTCAAACTCCAACTTGCATGAAGAGTGGAATAGAGTGATTCACAAGGATTGATCAAGAACCATTGCAAACAGAAGCACATACACTCATTGAAGATCACTTTCAGCAAGTATTAAGGGTTGGATTGGAGTCTAACCACCATTGCCATCATCACTTGCAAGGTAAGCATAATCTTTCGAATCTCCTCATTTATGCTGTTGTAGATCATGTGGTTAGGATAGGAGTGCTTAGAAACCATTGGAGATTAATTCTTGAAACTTAGGAAGAGTTATATGGAGTTTGGTGGCAGAGTGGTGGAACTTGGATGATCAAGAAAACCTAGTTTACGGGATGATAATTATGAGAGATGAGCTCAGAATAATCAGCACAATGTGGTGAGCGCATTAGGATGAAAATTGGCAAGGTTTGGTTGAGTTGATCACAGGTGCAAAGATTGAATCCCAACTGTTATACCTATCGAATTGATGTATAGGCTGAGTTTTAGAAGGAGGCAACACCATGGCTGTGTAGAGGGAGAATTTTAGAGCATTTTTGGTTTTTGAATCTCATGATTTCATGGAGGTATGAGAGAGAACAGAGGGATGGAAGTATCATGCATGGGGATGATTTTCTGAAAACCCTAGATGACCAAGGAAGAAGATGACTGGGTGCCGTTGGATTATTCAAAACGATGGACTTTTTAAGCTGATCGAAGGGCTGTGGTTTAAAGTCAAATACGGAGGGAAATTTTCAAAACTGAAACGTGCCGTTTCATTTAGTGGAATGAATTGGGCTCAGACAGCTATTCGCACCCCCCAATTTGATGGGCCCAACGCGCTGAACCTGATCTGCTTGCTATTCTTACCCCCTCCCTTTATTTCTTTCTATTTTCACTTTTTAATGTCCTTTTATTTTCATTCATTTTTGAAAATTCATAACAAATCAGAAATTGCATATTTTTAATTCATTCTTTTTGCATTATTTTCTTTAAAGAGTCAAGAAAATTATAAAAAATAAAAATTGCATTTTATTTTTTTTTGATATTTTTCCCATATTTTCCAAATAAATAGCATTTTAAATAGTTTCATTTCATGCATGATTTTGTTATTTTTTGTTCTATTAATTGCTTCAATATTTTTTGCCCATTCTTTTTAGGTTGTTTAGTTTAGACATTAAACTTGTAGATACAATTTAGTTCCCATTTTTAGAAATTAATTTTAGGTGTTTAGGTTTAGGTGTGAATAACATGAACAAACTAGGGTTTTAGGTGATGACTTAGGAGAATTAATTCACTTCCCTTAGGACTTAGAGATTGAATAGGTTAGCTATGGGACTATAAGGGCTATGGGTAGTTAGTAGATCCCCTTAGAAAAAGTCAGGATTCCCCTACTGCTATTAATGTACTGTATGTATCTGATTGACTGGTGTGGTGTGCCCTCTGGGGATTATTGCTTGTCTGTGTGGGTATTGGGATTGTCTGGGGACTTGGGAGAGCTGAAGACTTGTGAAGGTGAAGCCATTGGAGATCCAGACTGAAGTTCAACTTCCAGAGTTGAAGAGAAGATTCTTGCTAGCAGATGCTGAGGAGACTAGGGTTTAGGAGCTAGGCAGAGCTCTAGGTTAGAAAGTTTGTTTCTCAAACA